CGAGGTATATACCAACCCCAAAGGCGACTTTGACTTACACCATGGGTGCGTGTCCTGGTTTGCACGCGAGATGACTCGTGGCGACCCCTTGCGCGTCATAGGGAAACGTAAACTCTTGCTTACGTCTGGTATTTCGAGGTAATACACGCAGAAGTCATCCCCTACAGTCTCCTGTCTGTATATACATACGTATATGGTTTAGGGGAATATTCGTGAGCACCCTCTGTGCATTTATTACGTAAGTACAGACACCGTCAACAGTGACGTAACCGACACATTCGGAGCCCCCTTCACAGCGATCCTTGTGTACGCGTACTATATATGTATATACACCTCGCAGAGGCAAACCCTTAGCACGCCAGGATTATTAATGCCCCAGAAATGGAAACGATACCCCGCGCCGAATATCCAGCACTGATGTATCTATTGGGAAAAAAATAAAAAATCCGTCTAGCAAGCCTTTTGTGCCATTTCTTGGCCAACTTCTGCTTTGAACTATCTCTCAGAATGGAAAAGCTGCACGAGGACTTTTCTTTGTGAGATAGAAGAGAAAAAATGAGGTGGATGAAAATTTCTTACTTCTCCTTGCATAGGTATAGGATTACGTGGGAACGCTTCGGTTCAGTGAGGAACGACTATTTTTTTTTTTCTCAAATCAGTGAAAAAAAATGCCTGTATGGGTGAGCGAGTAGGTACGGCAAAAAAAAAAGGGCCTCGTGTTTCTGCGATTGGAGAACAGGGTTACAGGACATTCCGTTACGGGGGTGAGTTATAGCCGCCAGGGAAGACACGGTCCCTGGGGATGTTTTGGGAAAATTTGCGCGCAAAAATCTCAACGATAAATCAGCTTCCGCGACGTCGGACGGGCGATGCGCGATTTGCGAATCACGTAGCGCCGATAAATTTCTGGTAATAATAACACGAGAGGCTGCGTATAATAGGTAGCGATACGTATTCGAAAGATAGGACTAGGCGAAGTGGTAGAAGCCTCTTTTTTTTTTCTTATAAATGAACGCGAACTAGAATAGCCATAAAGTAGTGGTAAAAGTTCGACGTACCCGCAAAGAGACTTTCGATCTCGTTTTCTTATCGGCGGGAATTTGAAAAGTCCGTTATTTCAAATTGATCGTCAAGGACGTAGCTCGGATGTAAAATCGTTCGGGAAATATTCGGTAACAAGAAAAGTTTTTGCAAAAACGTCCACCGCCCGTGTTAAACTTGCTTTTCTATCTCCCTCTCTCTTTCACGCCATTCGTATCTTTCTCTCACTCTCTTTCTCTCTCGTACGAGTTAAGCGAAATAACGCGGAATCCTTTTACAGTTTTACTCATTGAATTACCTATCATCTAAGTACAGGTATATACTATATGCATATCCGTAGTAGTAGACGTGGCTGGAGATAGACGGTGGATAACGAACCCTTGTTCGCCGTTGGTTCAGGTCGAAGAAAAGACAGGCAAAAGGCAGACTATATCTTATTTCGTGAAACTTCGTCCTACTGGAAAGTTATGAATTATCGCGAAAGTTGCTGATGTGCGCCACGTCCATCTTGAACGGTACGAGACGAGGAAAGAGAAAATAAAAAAAAATATGCAATCGTGCGAAAAATTATAAATTGGAGGAATTGAAAATTTTATTTTTGAGATCGACAACAAAAAATACGATTCCTCCAATCCTTTTTTTGCCACTTTTCGAGTGACGCATTGCTGCAAGACTGACCGCCTAGGTGTTACAAGATCTCGAGCAGTCGGCACGTGAGAAAGTGTCCGGTGGCTGTGACGATGGCGATTTAGTAACTTCATTGTTTCGTAAGGCCTTCTACAGTCTCTGAGGTGAGAAATAGAAAGAAAGAAATAAAAGAGAAAAAACGTGAGAAAAATAATACCGACTATGTCCCGTTGACTCAAACCGTAATAAGATACTTATATTATTTTCTCGTCGGTGGCGATAGCGTTCCAAGATCAAATTAAAGAGAAACAAAGAGAGCAAGAGTTACCGTGACGAATAAAACTAAAAGCAAATAGCCGTGACAATGCCAGGCACGACAAGCAAACTAAAGAACGCAAGTTCAACGGGAAATAAATGACAAAGTCGTCTCCGGCAATAAAAACGCGAAGAAAAATTTATTAATCCTAAAAATCCATCGACTGATCAAAATCGAACTGCTGTTCGTCCAACTGTTTTTATCGCCATCCCATATAACAAAGTATAACAGATAATTGTCTCGCAAAAAAAAGTATTAAAAAAATTAAAATCCGCCCATAACGAATAACGTCATAATTACATAAATAAAAAAAAAATGAAGCAACCTTCGCGATCCAAAAAAAAAAAAAAAAAAAAAAAAA